CGTCCACGAGAAATAATATAATATATAATGTAATATACAGCACCACAGTTTCAAAAGGTACGTAACCAGACTCAACTTACTCGCACGAGATAAAGGAGAAAAATATAAAGAATTCTATATCCACTGCAGGCATGGGAGTCCTTGTTATAACACATTCGTCTCCACTGGTGTAAAAATCAACCAAACACCTGAAAAATCTTTTAGGTAATATAGAAATCCATACAAGGAAACCTACAAAAAATTTCCACTGCTCTACGCTGGGTACGGGTTTTGTAATCCATTAGGGCGAGTCGGACGGCGGACGGCCAGGTACAAATCAATATATTTCAATTTTCTCCGTGTTAGTCAAGAGGACATTAAAAACATCCAACTGAATAGGCACCTCGACTACCACGACACACGGGATATGTTGGTGCGCAGCAGAGCAAAACCTTGAAGATTCGTAAGTCGCATTAACAATAAACAACGGCAATCACCCTTGCTTAGAACACCCAAGAGGAATCCATACTCCCATAATAACGACATATCACATCTAATTCTAAAAACATCTCGGGCGTTGGTAACAAGAGTCTCACAACTTGAAATATTTAATACGAAATAACGGAAAATCTTATAAGACTCGTGAGTTGCAATTGTTGAGTTCTTGGTAAGACTCGACACAAAACTGATGATTCCAATACTGCCACCACCCGCGAGGAAGGTATACAGTAGTTAGTTAGTTATCAACGACACAGTCCCTCAGCTCTGTCAGCACAAAGCATCACGAGGACGTCTGGTGACTTGATATCTCCTGGCAAGTACAAGTATTGCTGCCTCATAATCGCCAGCGTTTCATCATGATGCAGGTGTTCCATTGAACCACAAACACACACTAAACCTTAGTTTCAAACTGAGAAAAAAACTTGACCGCGTCCTTGTTCAAACCTTAAGACCAAGAATCAAGGACAACACGACACAGGGATTATATCACTCATCAAGGTCCTGGGTCTATGTTCTGACACTGATTACAACGTTCTAATTAACTCCCGAACTAATATGGTGAAGGTGTATATAGGGGGCATTTGTAAGTTACGACTGAGTAACGAAGAGGAAAGGAGCCTGAGTCACGGTGGGTGAGGAGTCCTGACTCTTAGGTTCTTGAAGGCACATCTTGTAGACTCACTGAAACACATGGAGTCACAATTATACTACAATTCCATCTAACCAAAGCACGAATCTTAGAGAACCCGATCATGATCAGGTTAGTGGCCAGCACTTAAATCTGATATTTTCAAGGTTCTTTTGTGTACGTTCAGTGTATCTGGCACTCTGTGGCCCTCGAGTACCACCAACTGAACGGCACAGCAACAGAACAATGAAATCCTGGGTTAAGTTTGGGTGACGGTGAAAACTCCAGCACCAACGGAGTTATTTCCAGATTTACTTGAGACGTACAGTATTGGAGATCACCTGAGCAGTATAATCCGAGATCTGCATCATACATCCAGTGTCAGGAAAATTGTTCAAAGCTTCACTTGTATCCTTAAAACATAACCAATATAAAGTTATGAAATTGACTGGTCCCTACAGACACAGTCCTTCAACACGCGACCTAATCAATTTTTGTGTAACTTAATCTATCTTTTCCCTGAACCAATAAATGGCGCAGGGAGAGATCACACAAGTGTCGGTGTAAAATATATCCACCAAGTTGTCCCCGTGCCAGCAGCTCGAGATATCTCAAATTGGATGTTTTCAACTATTGAAGGTTATATGATACGGACACAGTGCGAGTCCAGGGTATAAATGGGTACAACTTTGTAAATGGCTCCACTGAGTTCCTACTAACGGCTTACTGTCCACCACTAGCCTAAAAAGGTTAGGTTACCAAGGTTACCACAGACACGTCACTTAGATCCTTGCTGTAACATAACACAGGACTAAGAAAAACTTCAAAAACGTATAGGCGTATTGGCTCATATAGCTTAGCCTACATACAGAGGCATGGATATTTACCACTTGTAATGTGACCTCATGGGAGTAGGTCAACGTGTTTAAAGGTCTTAGGTTACGCAACAGAGGGAATTAAATCATAGTACTTAATGTATTATATACTATACATTATTCAATTAAATTGATTGGAGATTATTTATCAAAAATTTTTTGCTTCTTTGTCAAATCAATGGCTAAGTTACAGGTCCTTTGTATAATAACGAGTTCTAGATGGGTTCATAATAAAAAATAAATAAGATAATAGTCACCAAATTCAGTGACCCGACAATAATAGAAATAAGAGCTGGGAGACACGCGATGCACTGCAGTTCAGCCGTTTATAATGACAAGATAATAACATAAATCACCTGGAGGAACACAAGACTCGATAGCCACAACAGCAGTGAAAGGTCTGGCTGGCTGGTGGCGTTACCATGGCTACCAAGAGCCGCGTCACCCTAACCAGCTGACCGGACACCTGACCTTGTGGTGGGGTGGCAGGAGGGTTGTCGGGTACCTCAAGGGAAGAAAAATGGCCAGAGCTCATGATTACCTAACTGGCCCTAGGTTCTCAAAAGATTACCCCCCCCCCCTGAATCGGGTATGTACAGTAATTATGCATCGGACCCAATTAGGTATGATGTAGAGTTTGTGGGTAAAATGGCATTGACACTACACCAAGATATTACTGTAACTAGGAGCACCATCTTATCCGATTCCCAAGTGAAAGCAACTAAAGGAATTACTCCACCTCTCTCTCTCTCTCTCTTGAAGAACCCACACCCTGGACTGTAGATACAAGACTACTTTACCCAACACTGCTTTATATAATATCGTTTTAGGATTTAAACCGGAAAAAAAATGAAATAAAGGTCATGTAAAAACAAGATCAAACAGGTCCACCAACTGGCTGGCCTCCACTGTCTCATAAATGCTGTCCAACACAAGCAGTACCATACCACACCACCCCCGCCGTGCACGTGGCTCCAGCTCCCAACAAAGGACTCCACTATTAATACCAACACAACTTAACCAAAACTTCTCCCTCGTCTCTACCTCCTATGCACTGCACTCTCTACCTGTCTACTCCACACGACAGCCTCAAACACTGCCGTTCCAGCAGGTCTTCAGCAGACCTCTCCAACACCATTCAGGCCTCCAGCAGACCTCTCCAACACCATCTAGGCCTCCAGCAGACCTCTCCAACACCATCTAGGCCTGTAGGTCTCCATCATGGGAACTCTCCTTTACCCTCCAGGACTACCTCACTGTTATGCCCCAACACCTTCAGTAAGACGGTCTACATTAAACTACACCTTAACCCTGTACTCATGAGTGACCCTCACATACGCTCAACTCGTATATAGCTTATGGGTTCACTCCTTACCAATCTCACTTTACCTGTATTGTAATTCTTTGTTAAATGACTCTCTCCACGTCATTTTATACCTGTGTCTATGTAACACGTCATTTATTTTTAGCTTAGGATTACGGTATTTTTCAATGAACCTTTTTAGTATTGTTACACAAAATATACGGGGTCATTAAAAAAATTATTCCAAAATTTTAAACATTATATAGCAGGGAGATTACCAGTACCAAGCCAACCAGTAAAATGCCTCAGCGACTTCGTCTCAACTTTATGCCATGAATCTTGATCCAAAAATTTCCCCTTAAATTTCTTTATCCCAACTATGCCGAATTTCTCTGACACGGGACCATTATCATTTCAGAGAATGTGGTGAAATGCATCTACAAATATACATATATATGCTCACATACTGACAGCCTACACACATACGCAACACATACTGGGTGTATATGAATATTCATGTCCGATGCTGCTTGACTGTGGACTGAAAGTTAACTAAGTGTTCATTATATTAGGTGATATCGACAAATATATACCGGTACCTACAGTATGTATGTATATATATATATATATATATATATATATATATATATATATATATATATATATATATATATATATATATATATATATATATATATATATATATATATATATATATATATATATATATATATATATATATATATATATATACATATGTATATATATGTATATATATGTATATATATGTATATATATATAATATATATATATATGTATATATATATAATATATATAATATATATATATATATAAAATATATATAATATATATATATTATATATACAGTATATATTATATATAATATATATATATATTATATATATATATATATGTATATATAATACATATATATATATATATATATATATATATATATATATATATATATATATATATATATATATATATATATATATATATATATATATATATATAATATATATATATATATATATATATATATATATATATATATATATATATATATATATATATATATATTCTAATTTACCACCTACACAAAGGTAGACACACTAATAAGAGATCAGGTTAACCGCCAACGCTTCCGCCTTCCACATGGATAGGAGTGGTCTGGCCTGCTGGTGACTCACAGGCTGGTGGAGACGTGACCCAGGGACCCAAGGTGCCGCCACCATCTTGTGCTTTAATCTAACACCATATTATTTACCCAAGCTCACAGCTACGCCGGAAGAGATTGATATAAACATTCTGACTGGATTAAAAAAAATAAGGAAAAATCAACATAAAAAATGTCCCAAAACTGAAATCCGAAAATAACACCATTTCAAAAGGGGAGAAACTCTTTCCATTTTACACATCCAAAAAACAAAACAGATGTTAATTATAGAATCCGTTTTTTATCTTTTCACACAAGGTCATACCGTTACACACTTTAGGGGACGATCCACACACACTCACTCAATAATATGAATAACGTTAATTCGTCAAGGGTTTGTTAATGGTGAAGTCCCTGTGAGTATATGGACTACCATAAGATTTGACAGGAAGATTCAACAGCCGTTCGATCAGCGAAGACTCCCAACCGAGGTACATGACTGAGGTATACAAGAGATAAGTAACGACGACTTACCTTTCGAAGCATCTGTCCACATTATCGGACATAAGGAGGAGCATACACAGTTGCTCCAAGGCAATGAGTTGCATGTCCCGCTCCTCGCCCTGGCCCATCTGCAGCCATTCCAGCAGTGTCTCCGGGTCCACGTCCGCCATCATCTGTAACCAAAATGTATGCAAGATGTATACAAAAAACACTCTGTATGTGACAAGTATGCCGAAAATATGGAGTGACAGATACACAGACTAAATAAAAGAAACATTCAAGTAACAAAGTTAAAAACAAAATAATTCATATAGTTTAATAAGAACACCAAATTTCGCATAAATCAAGGTGTGCCTCATACAACGCATATACCAGTTATACTAAACGCCAATAACAGAGAATTACAATTGCTAATGAAGCTGCCAGCAACATACAGAAAGTCACGAAGACACGGCGCTGACGTCCAATAAAAAGTACTGTAATATCATACACTCTTAGATGCACTACATAGCTATACAGTAAAGCCGAAAGATTACAGCGTTGAGGAGTAAGATTACATCGCTAGGTTTTAAAATATACTTTGGTGAATCTTATATTTTTATGTCCGTAGATATAAAGACAGCGAGATATTACCAATTACAGTGAGACAGCATTTCTTCAACACAACACCTGCACAAGACATCTGTAAAACCACACTTTTCCTCGTTAAGCTTTACTGTACCTCGCTCTTACAATACCGGCTGTAATTCAGTGCATGTAGCGTCTCTAGTTACAACGAGGTGTGCAGCTAACTGGCCTCCCACCACACCTTAACCCTGCGACCCCACCTTCCACACTCCTGTAAATCCACCTCGCTTTCTACACTCATTTAAATCCACCTCACCCATTCACCCACAGCCTCACCTCACCTCACATCCTGACACACCTTTAGGCTACTTATAAAGGGGTTGCATCATCGTACTCAGAGGGTTTAACAATAATACAAACTCGTCTCGGCACATTTCACATCATCCACCGCCTCACCACCAAACACCATGCTGTCTACAATCCTATTTCACTCTCCCTATCACACACACACACACACACACGAATAATGTATACCGGTACATACTGTACAGTACACAGAGGAAAAACAAGTATAATTTACATACAGAAGTACAGAAACATACACAGCTTCCATACACACGGTCGTGTACATCACTTTATCACTGCCTACCCCCACTGCCCTCAACACCTCACTCATCAGCAGGCGCCTTCCTAGTCCCCCCCCCCTCTCCCACCTAACACTCTTGACTCCCCTCCACCCTCGACTCCCTTCCTGTTGATAGGTGACTCCTTCCTGCAAACACTGCTCACTTCCCCATCCAAATTATGCAAACACCCTTCCTGTAAACAGTAAACGTGTCCCAAGTTCATAAAACACACACACACACACACACACACACTGGGCCAAAGAGCTGCCTTTCGAATATCTCCGGCCCAATACACCACAAGAGCTAAGCACTAGAGAAACTCGCACAACATATGTTAGTGGTTTCTTAAGCATATATTATTTCCCACAACCCCCAACCTGACCTTGGATAGGGTAATTTGACCCTATCGTGAGACAAATTAACCCGAAGTAAATAAATTAACTTGAGGTGAGGGAAATGTATGTGTGTGTGTGTGTGTGTGTGTGTGTGTTAAAAGGTATCAGCGTACACCAATGAGAGAGTGAGGACAGGGCGAGACTGCATACTTGTTTCTGGCTTCCCTTCTTTGGTCGCCACCACCTGGGAGGTTATACCGGTAACGTCACGGCACCAACGACCTCCACCTGCCTGCTCCACCCCTTCCCCTACCTCCACCTCCCTTCCCCTCATACCTGGCACACCTCCCACCAACTTCATTCCTACCACACCTCACTCTCTCCTCCTCGTGCCTTCTACACCTCATACCATTCCCCTCTAACCACTACCTCACATTTATCTACCTCAACAGTCACCACATAGCCACCTTCCCCAATCACTATCAATCCATCTACCCATTAATAAACCTTCTCCCCAACCCAGCCAAGACAATTACAAATTAAGTACTCTACAGTGGAGGAATGAGAAGCATAGCCTCTACTCTATCCCTAGCAGACTAATTCACCACTCATCCCACTCATCCTACCACTCCAGGAGGACTGGCTGCAAAGAAAGTGGAGGATAAGTACCGAGTATCTCGTGCTCTCTTCATCCCTCGACTCTCAAGTCGTCTGACGGAACAACGTGGCCACTGCAGCAGCACAACTTATTCCACAATTCCCAATTCACACATTTATTAGTTTCACCGACATCACTATCAGAATTTAAGTTCTTTAATATGAGCATTAGTGTCACACACATACAAAATTTCACATTTCTTGGATGGCTGTGTGCAGCAGGGTTGGCAGGATGTGCTTCTCACAGGCTACAGTCTGGGGGATCACCATCACGAGGACAAAGGCGGCCTGGATATCACGTCTGGGTACGGAAATGACTGGCAACCGGGTGTGGGCAGCATGTAGGCTCGAGGAATAATGTTGCAGATTATAATGACCACCAACCTAACCGGGTCAAAACATTAGGATTGAGGCAATTAGACCTGTCAGTGGTTACTAATTGTGGCGCTTTCCTTTCACCGTCTACATGATAATGAGGTCAAACAATTTACAGGTATTGCGGTATTGGTGAACCATTAACATTCATTTTCTTCATATATGTATACCAGTAATTGTATCCGTACGTGTAAGCAAAACTCGGCGTGCTCCTCCATTTTAGGTTCTCAACCGTGGCAAAGTTATAAAATAGCTACATGAACGTTTGCCAGGCCTCCGCCAACGGGAAAAATCCCGCTTGAGCACTCTGCTTTAAGAACGAAAATGGATCAATGAATGTTGGAAGACGACAAACAAACAAGTTATTACAGAAAACCTCCACTGGAGCCTGTTTTTAAAGCAAATAATGGTGTTGCTGCTCTCAGTATCCCGACTTCATTAACCCGCAATGGTTGTAAACCATTTGACTTGAAGAATGATTCAGCGGCCAATGAGGCATGTAAGAAAGAAAATGTTGACCGTGACCTTGGCCTGTCCAATGCTGTACAGTACTTAAAGACATTCAAGTCAGAATCATGAACTCTGATCTAGAAGAACTGAGAAATGCAGACCTGACAGTTGTATCATTAGTAAAGATGGAAAATTTTGTAACGAGAGGTATCAGTATGGCCAGCATAAGGACAGAACCAGACAAAGTGATGTAGTCGTGGTCAGAATTAGGCTAGGATACAGACACATCTGGCAAGTTAGTAATGCTGTATCCATACCGGAACACTCAGCATGTAAACTTTGTGATAAACCTTTAAAGCATACACTTGAACACTATATTATTGAATGTGACACTGTCAAAGACTTCAGGCCACCTGGCTTATTGTATCATGAACTTTGTAATTACTACATTGAATCGGGGTACTTGGTGACATTCTTGCTGTTTATCCCAAATTTGCTAGCCCACACTGATTAGTCTTCAATTAGAATATGACGTCCAATGTATATGAAACACTGCCTTGCATGGCAGTGAACAGTGACATCACCCACATGTCTTTGTGTATGAACCTCTGTCCTGCGTGGCAGTGAGAAGTGATACCACCCTCAGTGTCAAGACCTGACTGAATTACTCAGAATAGGCAAACTGTACTCCAAGCTTTGTCAATAAATGTTAAACTAAAAAAAAAAAAAAAAAACAGCGCAACCCAAGACCTATGATTTATTCTCATGGCCGACCAATTAAGAAGCTCACAAGTTACATCTAATTTGACCTGTGTCCTGTGGGGGCTCACAAACAGCAGTTTTTCATTTGCTCTTAATCTCAGTTTTGGGTAAACTGAAAGTGAAAAGTGAATTCCAATGGCATGACTGCCCCGTTAGGAGAAGTGTGGATAAAGCACACTACATACTAAGCCTTCGGTAAGCAAGGAAGCAGCGTGACCGGCACTGCACTCACCGCCTTCAATACCCAAATTTATAAAATCACTGGTAAGTACCCCTTCACTGCTAAGTAGACTAGGAGCTACCCTGGATCGAACCATCGACCCTTAGGACGAGATTGAAGTGCTGTATCTACTCGGCCGTCACATTCCCCAGGAAAACTGATGGCTATAATATGTTATTTGTGACATGTACACAGTACACGACTGTGTTTCTGGCGGCGACCGTGTGACAGCAAGACGTCAACACAACGTGGGCTGTTGCTAATTACTCGCATCAACACTTGGTACAAACCTACATGGCTCATTTGTTTCCTTATTTACTCATCCTCGCGTTCAACCTTTCCAAGAACCTCCTCCCCTTGTTTTAAAATAAGACTACGAAACTAAACTAAACGATTTTGTGTTGTGGCTCAACCTGGCTTGGCTAGATGGAACTGAAACACGAACACTGATCGACGCGGCAAAGATATGGTACAACTTCCAACAACACATACAGGAAGCAGCAAAGTTTGACAAGTTACCACAAACTATAACACACTGTTTATCTTTGTGCCGACCCCAGAATGTTGCCAGCTCGATGGCGTTGCTAGCATATTCTTTCCAGGCAAGTCTCATACATTCTCGTTACTGGTGCCTTCCTCTACCAACCCCTGACCTATATAGATTTTACCAAACGTTAAACACGAACAGGACATACTCAAATTAATACCTTGGAAAAAATCACACAAAACTTACAGATTCCTCCATACTGAAAATTTATCCTTGGCGTATCGACCTTTATCCTTGTAATGTAGATCAATGACTAGAGTGCTTTGTCGACGTCGCCTCACGCCTACCACAAAACCATCACTTCTATTACCTCTATCATTCAATACAAAGAGATAAGTTTTTTCTGTATTTATCTGATATATATTTCCGGGTCACCACTAGAGCAATGGTTAATTCACTTCACATCACATCAACACAATCAATAAAATTAGCATTATAGACGTGCTTAGACGTGTGTTAAGTTGCACCATCATCGCCACCTGCCACTGAGGCCTTGTTTCCTGGTGGGGTATGCATGGAACTGGTGATGTTTACCTCGACGGTGCTCAATGTTGTGCAACCAAGTCTTTCGTCATTCAAGTTCCTTACACCACCATGATCAACTCTCGAGGAGAGCCCGTGGTAGCCACAAATG